CTGGGGAAAGCTGTGTTCTTCCCGAGCTTCAGCAGCTGGATTTGTCTTCCTGCACTTGGTTTGAGAGGGACTAAACTGTCTGAACAGCCCCTTGCCCGCGCGGGAGGTGGCACTGTGGGGACGTGTCCTGCTGAGGCTGTCAGTGATGTCCCTGCTGCGTGGCTTTGCCAAGGAGCTGGTCCCTGGTGATATGCTGCTTAGCAGCCTCAGAGCCACGAGCAGGAAGAGCAAATCCATTGCCTAATCCGACAAACATGCCAGGACCACATTAGCTGATGTGAACATTGGCCCCTATTCATGGATTTTTCACAATCTCTGATGTTTATGGTGGCCGGGAGCAAACTAATGCCAGAGGTTTTTTTTTTTTCCTTTGTTGAACAAAAAGTGTTCACTGAAACACAACCTCTGTGTGCATCTTCCATCCCAAGTGCCAAAATGGAATCATAAATTGTTCAGGGTTGAAAAGGACCTTAAAGCCCATCTTGTTCCACTTCCCTGCCATGGGCAGGGACACCTTCCACTATCTCAGGTTGCTCCAAGCCTTGTCCAACCTGGCCTTGGACACTTCCAGGGATCCAGGGGCAGCCACAGCTTCTCTGGGCAACCTGTGCCAGGGCCTCACCACCCTCAGAGTTAAAAATTTCTTCCTGGTACCTAACCTAAATTTCCCCTCTTTCAATTTGTACCCACTGCTCCTTGTCCTAAAATAGGAAGTGTCTGTCAGAAAGCAAAGCACCAGCCATGGCTTAGCTCTCAAGAGTGTTTGATTTCGTCAGCTTTCTCTCTTTTGGAGACTGTTTTGTGAATTCCTTTACTGTCAGATCCCGAGGAGCACAGTCTGAGGCTCTTGATCAGCTCCTGGCACAGTGACAGGTCACACAGAGACAGTGCCCACGCTGCAGCTCAATGTGAGCACCAGATGGACAACTCTGTGCCCATCCCAATGCCCTCAAAGCAGCTTCCACAGGATCACAGAATAGTCAGGGTTGGAAGGGACTTCTGGAAACCACCCAGTCCAAACCCCCTGCCAAGGCAGGGTCACCTGGAGCAGGTGACGCAGGAATGTGTCCAGGTAGGTTTGGAATGTGTCCAGAGAAGGAGACTCCACACCCTCCCTGGGCAGCTGTTCCAGGGCTCTGCCACCCTCCTGCTGAGGTGGAACTTTTAGTTTATGGCCATTGCTTCTTGTCCTGTTGCTAGGCACCTCTGAACAGAGTCTGGCATCATCCTCTTGACACCTGCCTTGGAAATATTTACCTCTTAGGCTATCCTAAACCATGGTCTAGACTAGGAAATCAGGTGGGATGTTAGATGAAGTCTTGAGGGCTTGGTAGAGGTGAGGAAATGTGTAAATGTAGTGTTTAGGGCATTACTGAGGTACTTGTGTTGAAGACTGAGTGCCCAGGAGGAGCTGGTGTGGCTCGAGGTGGGGAGGCCACCTCAACATGAGACCTTAGTAATTTCTGCTGCCACAGTGGCCCCTGGAAATGGGAGGACACCAAATGGTGTCCCCTCTGACATGGGCAGAGGTCTCCCATCTCCTGGGCTTTCCCCCTGGAAGCTTCACTAATCTCAAACTCGTGGGTTTGTAAGTGCTCTTGTGTCCCAGAACAGAGAATATTGATGGAGGTGAAAGGCTGGGCTCAGCTTAATGATTGGAAAAAGTCAGGTAAGGGAAGGCAGGACAGAAAGTAGGGAGAAGACTTTGTTGAAGGAGAGAAATGTCAGTAAAAAGTGGGAGCTGTAAGTTTGTGATGACTGTTGGGAACAGGGTTTGTTAATCCCAAGGCCTCTGCACTGGAGCTGCCTGGAGAGGAGCCCAACCACGTGCAGGAAGGGGCAAAGACTGTTTATTTTTATTCCCAAACCCTTGGCACGGTGCAGTGTGACACCAACAAATGTCCTGGAGAGCTCTGGCCACTCCATGCCCTCGACAGGAAAACACGGCTCAGGGTCTCCGTGTGAGGAGGAAATGAGCAGCTTCCAAGGAAAGTGTGGAGAGGAGAGCAGGGGCTGGATGCTGGATGCTCTCCTGCACCCCTGGGGCAGAACATCCCCATCCTGTGCTTCCCATGGGTCTCGCTCTGTGTTCTGAGTGTGCTGTGGTGGGTGGAAATCCGGAATAAACGCATTTCTTCAGCTTCCTCGTGTAGTTTGGATTAAACTTCCTAATAAAGCAATTGTTATTTTTCTAACCCGATTCTCCCTCTGTAAATGCTGTTGTTCCCCGGGCTGTACCTCCCCCTCCTCCCCTCTCCCGGGGGTCTCCATGTGATGGTCATTCCTGCTCCTGCGCTTCCCTGAGGGGGTTTCACCTGGGGGGGCTCTTCCAGATCCTGC